ATCATGGTATGATTCGTTAAATGTCTTATCTGGGATTTTTCTTCAAAACCCTATTAAACAAGAATTAATGCTTACGGAGTTTACGGAGCAAGATGATTATATCTAACTGAATTTTATACTCACTTAAAGTGTAGCGTCTTTTTTGTTTATCTTAGTAATGCATTCGTATTTTTCATATTTTTTCATTTTGTTGTCTTTTCAATGCTGCCTCTTCTCTTATTATAAAATTTGGTTACGTTTATTTTATCTCTTCTTATTTATGCGTTTGAAAGTATCTCTTAGTTAAACAATTTGTTTAAACAACACTTTACCACTAGGGATTTTTGACACTTGTGTGATTTTAGATAATTGTCGTTACTCGGTCTTGTTAGAGACTTTGTTTTATATGTTAGCAAATGAGGCAGACTGAGTTTAACATGAGAAACTTATTTGACTACCTAGGGAATGATACTTCTGTGCATTGAAGCGTGTTTTTTCTGTTTTAAAACAAACTGCCCAAAGTGTATTTGTAAAGTGTCTTAAATTTTATGAGAAAAGAATTTTGAATGCAAGTGACGTTTCATTTAGTTTTTCGAACAATACGTAATAATTATAATAATTACAAGAGGGCCAGGGTATATTAAATTCAATAATGCGTTTGTGATCGTTAGAAATGTGATCAACAGTTTGAGATATATTTGATATAGAGTCTAGTACTGTTTATGAATTCTTTTAAGGGACATGCAAGCCTAGTAAGCTATAAAATTTATATATTAGGGGTTTTAATAAATACTTTCCGTTGAAATAGATTACTTTGTAAAACGAAAATGATGGGTTCATTTTTTCTAAAGCTTTAGCTATAGATAAGTCGGACATCGATGTCTGTGTCAGTTGGTGCAGATGCTTACAAACGGTCATTTAGGGTATGTCGAAGTGCAAGGAGATATATTTAAACTGGGAAAAAATGCAGTTCAAGCAGCTGAAATGATTAAGTTGGCTTGGGGCGAAAATGGAATAAGTCATAAAACATTTAGAAAGAATTTTAGTCTTAAAGACGATCTCGACGAGAGTAGCGGGATAAAGAAATTCAAAGTTCACTAAACAAAAGTCCAGCAAGAACTGATATAGAACTTGGTAGGTAGACCCCAAACAATTTCAGTTTGGCTGGTTACTGTGGGAAGGAGAAAATAGGAAGGAAAATGGGTTACTCACTGAACACTAAATGAAGAGAACAAAAATGCGTCTCGTATGATAATCCTAAGCATGGCTTGATCTAGGACAACCAAGCGCAACAATTGCAATTGCAAAGGCGGACATTCACATCCGTACACTAACCAACAGCTTCAACTAACAACTGGATCTTATACCGAAAAAGCACCAATTTACTTATATGCACTCATGTGCGTTTTATGAAGCCATCAATTTCACCGGAACGAATTTCTTAATACACCTAACATGTACGCATCGCTTTATAGTTGCCCTCAGGTGTACATGATTTTCTTTGTGATTTTTTTTCTTTTCATTACTGTTTGGTTACCTATTACATCTCTTTGCATTATTCATAGATCTCATGCGTATTGTATTTACTTGCTATCTTATCGGTTGTTAATTACACAGAATGTACATAAAAAAGTAAATAGACGCAATTGAACGTTGTTCTCACTAGCATCACAATCACTCATTCTATTGAAAGTTGAAATATGCTTTAAATTTGTATTTCTAAGCACTTTTTAAAAGTTAAAGTTTTTACGCTATTTTAGAAACGCAATAAAACATTTCAGCTTTGCTGCAGACTTGCTGCAAAGCTATTAAAACATGTACAAAGCCAATAAGTAAAACAACAGAGTCGTTATGTAAATTTGTCTTTGCAATAGCTAACATGGTTTGCCATGACTTTATATATACACAAATAACATAAAGTTTAGACATATATATATATATATATTATCAAGTATCGGAAAATTAATGTTTTCGTCTTGCTGACGAAATAATATGAATAATATCTCGTCAAATTTCGTTAAGAAATCATCTATGCATACATAGTCTAGAAAAGTAAAGACTCCTCTAGTCGAACATGTCCTAAATGTGACCAGAAAATATATAGAAATATTGTTACTTTCTAAGTCGTCTTCAGCCTGAGTAATGGGAGCAGATAGTAAGATAGAAAGATAAAAAAAAAAAAAAACAATAAAAAAATTTTTAATTAGAAAAACTTCAATTAAAACTGTTACACTTTCATTGACGTTTCTATTTTTCCCTTTTAAATATTTTTTAAGTATTAGTTCATTTACTATTTATTTTATTTAATTGTCTAATAACTTTTGTATCTAAAACATTTCCTGTGTTGGAAATAGTTTTCAACCTACTGCCATTAGATGAGATGTACAGACATAATACCTACAGACATTCCCATATAACTATGAAATTTTGCTTCCGCAAAGCTTGTTTCATACATCGTTAAGGGCATTCAGGAAATCGTGTATATTTTACATGTTAAAAGATCAAGAAGTGCTAGTAAAAAATGCCCCAAGATGCCTAAATGATCTAAGCTTGTCGACCCTCTAACAATCTACTCACATTTTAAGTACGCTTTTTAATAGTGATGTAGGTGAAAATTGGTGGTTTTGATCTTATTCTTCAATATACATATATAAGTTTTTACTCTAGCCTAGACTTGTAAAATCTCTATACCCTTCAGTCCATAGCAAACAATTTGTCTACGGTTTTTCTTTACACTTCGATTCGATTATCCGGTCTTCATCTGTTCTACCTACAAAAATATGTATTTTTTGTATATATTATATATATATTTATAGTTATCTTAGGTATTTACAGGAATCGAAGTCTTGTGACTCTTAGAGAATAAAAAGTTTTAATGTGAAGTATATGCCTTGTGGTAATACCAACCTTCAAGCATTCACAAATTTATATATATATATGTATATATATATATTAAGAATACATAGACAGGCAGATAGATAGCTAATAATGTCAATCTTTGTGGTTTTTGTATCTCTCTATATATTGTTTAATACATATTTTCCTTTTAATTTCTCTAACAAAAAAGAAAAATTCATTTTGTTTGCAACGAATATTACAACACTTATGTGTACATCTTGCTTCTTTAAATATTAATATATAAAAGTCCTTTTGGGAAAACGAAAGCCTAATGGTAGACCTGATATCCTTTCAGTCAATGCATCTAATCTTGATAGGTGCGGGCATTTGAGCAGGCACACGCGTGCATACATCTACAAAATGATTTTATTCATAAACGCATAAGATTCGTATACATTCCCATAGCATTTACTAAATGGATTATGGGGATCATTGCAAAGGCGGCAAGAGGTCGCATATCAATAGAATTTGGTTTGTTGTTGTTTGTTTATTGTTGTTTTTGTTTTTGTTTATTTTTGTTCCAAAATTTCATATCAATATTCATATTCGAAATAAATCGTGAATTATATGGAGCGATCGTTGTTTACAATGTTCGGCGAAGACAATCTCAACAATAAACATAAGGCAATTAATTTATTTTGATTTTTCTTGGCTAAAACACAAATTTATTCGTTTGTTTGTTTTAGAAAATCGATGTCGATGCTTGTAAGTTTACGTTCTAATGATGATGAGCATAAAAATGATTTCTGAAATATATATATGGCTTTCGCGACGTCAATCATCAATTATATCGAAGAAAGATTCATTATGAAGCAGAGAACAGCGTCTTGGTGGCAATTGAAAAAAATTTCAAAATTTTGAAATGTTTGTGGCAATGGAAGACCTAACAAACAAGAATAGAAAAGTTGAATTTTTTGAGTCTTGATGACGTCCAGGACAATGGCAGGCAGGCTCAGCAAACAATTCAGACACGTTTTTGAGGCGAAAGTATGTGACGGATAGCTTATTATGAAAGCATAGTATGATATATAGTTTCAGGAGGGATACTGCGAAAAATACACATATCGACCAGCTTTACTTAACATGTATCGTTTTTCAGTTCATGCTTTTAGTGAATATCTTATAAAGAAAGACATACGAGCATACGTAGCTATATATCTAAGCAGATTGACGTTTGTATATAAAAAATTATATATTGGTATAAATACATTACTGGTATAAATATATTTTATTGGCCAATATCTTCCGTTATATTTGCCTATACGTGAGTCCACGGTGACGATCCGAAAGGATTCTAGGTGCGCAATATACATATACGTTTTTAAAGATTTACTTATGAATCGATGAAGTTAATATAACCATCGGCTGGGGACTATAGCAAATTTTTATTTGTATTTGATATATATTTAATAATATGAATGAGTTGTTGTTGTAATAATAGTATTAATTCTAACACTAGCGCATTAAAAAGCGTGGTACTTCCAGTTATTCTGTAATTTTTACTTTTTTTTATTTTTCGCTAAACATTTATTATCAATTATCGTTGTTACGCTGTTGTTGACGTTGCGGTTATTCTTGTTGTTGTTATTGCTGTTATTGAACAACAACATTAAAGGTTGATTTTATATTTCGCTTAATGCTAACAAAGCCGTCCACTGAATTTCATTAATATTATTGAACGGAAAATCGTATAAAAAAAAAATAAATAAATAAATAAAAAAAATATACGTAAATATATCAGAACAACACTTGAAGTTGTAGTTGTTGTTGATTTTCACAAAGTTCAACAGAGTTGAAGTTTGTCGTTATTTATTTATTTATTTATTTTTTTTTTTTTTTATTCTTCTATTTAGTTCTCAGTTTTTTATTCTTTCTGTGATTAAATGGCTCTAAGCTGTGTGGTGCCAAGTTTAGTTAGATTTCAACGTAGACAGCAAACGGTTGCATTAGGTGTGAATGAATTGAGATGCAGTGACGCGCCGCTATAATGTTGACAGAAGTATATATAAAAAAAAAAGAAAAAAAAAAAATTCAAATAAAAAAGAAACACTCGCAAAAACGACCAAAGCAAAACCGAAAAGAAATTCAATGTGTTGCAAAAAGTGTTATTTTTAAAGAACTTTTGTATTTAATGATGTAAAGTAAAAAAAGTTCTTTGAGAAAATATTTAAAAAAAAAAAAAAAACGAAAAAAAAATCCCTTTATGTTGTAGCCCATCATCTTAAAAGGTTATGCGAATAAAAATAAAGGAAAATTTATTTGGCTAAAGTGTTTAAATCAAGTAATTTCTCATTTCATTTGCACTTTGGCGTATATGAGTTCATATAAAAAAGAAACGAAAATTTCATATCAGTTTTGTTTACGATGGCTTTCCACCAAATGATTGGTCAGATCGATTTCAAACAAGAAATGTGGCAAAATTTGAATGCGAAAATTAAAGATCTTCAACCTCAAGAACAAGCAGCCATACGCAATTTTTGGAGGTAATAATGCGAGCAATAATTTCATATTGAAAGTCAAGAGATTTTTGCCTTTTTTTTTTTTTTTTTTTTTTTTTTTATAACACTCTTAGGTCTTTGAGATGTAAAGAAATCAACATAATTCGATACGACGCAAGCCTTAAGCCTTAAGCAGAAGATTAATTAAATAAGTATAGATAAACAAGCGTCAGTAAGAATGTTATTAAGATCTTAAAAAACATACTTTTTTTTTTGTTTCCTCTACACTCTTTAAAGCGCGATAATGCTTAGACTTCAAAAGAAAATCTCGACGGCATGCAATGTGGGAACAAAATGGATAAGTGTGAGAAATTTTTTCATAAAATAATGAATTTCCGTTGATTTTATATGACAATAATTTGATGACATATGTGCAGAGAAAGATATGTGATTTTAGAAAATTTTCCTTTTCTTAACATTATTTTTGTTTTCCTTTTGCAATTGGGAATACGTTGTGTAGTGTAGGGGCGGAGGGGGCATATTTGAGCCAATTTTAATGGCGACAGATTCTGGACATAATAATCAAACTATCAAAAATCTGCTATTGCGTAAGGACTTTGAAAATTTTTTCTTGTGTGTACTGTAACTGTGCACGACAGTTAGTATCACTAACTTTTCGGATTTGTGATCGTAATTGAAGACTGAGTTTGTTTTACTCTTGAGTGCATACTGTTGCCAATTGTCTACATTATAGTTTAACATAATTTTGATATTAAGTTTTTAAAAAAAATGTAAATAAAAAAAAATTCAAAACAAAATTGGCAACAATATGCATTTAAGGGTAAGAAAAACGCTATGCAAATATTGCTACATAAGGAGATATGATCAAATATACGATCGCAATTACGTCGCTACGCATTTAAGGGTTAAACGTACAGGCTTTTTATTATTTATTAATGCTAACATTAATGCTATTTATTCTATTTTACTTCACGATTAACTGTAAGTTGGCAAGACGAACACTTTCTTTCCCAACCGAACTGCATTTAAACCGAACGGAACAATTTTGATTAATATTTTCTATTTGAGATTGGGATTGATTAGCTAGGAAGTTTTAATAGTGGGCGCCATTTTTGTTTCCTGATTTCGAGATTATATCCGGTCTAGTTTATTTCAAGCTTCAGACCAAGTAACGGTTAACAAGTGTTCCGATTTACACAACTTTTTCTTTTTATAAAAATATTCCTTTGTTGTCTACCCTTACTTTACCTTATGTTATTTCGCGTCGTTTGGGTACTTACGAATTCTAGGTAAATGTTTCACTATGTCCCCAATAAAATGTCGAAGTACGAAGAATGAGCGAGACATGATTTATAAAATATTGCGCTCAGAAGCTAGCAAGGGCTTTCCGTTTAAATCTTACGGACTCATCCCAACGAGCTGACAGCACACCAACTAACATCTTTGTCAAACCTAGTGCCTATACCTGCTTTAACTTTTTAAGCGAATTCAAACGATGAATCCAGAGTGGTTCTTTGAACTTCAAGAATAATTAGAAGTTAAATGCAGTTAAATTAATTCAATGTGTGATGCTAAGGAGAAGAGATCTTCGATGTCGAGTGTTGCTTCATTCTATTATTATCATATTCGCTTCTTTAATAGACCAGATTGCCGCATTGTTTCGAGATAATAATGTCAACTTTTATATGAAATACTCTTGTGGCCACATAATTATGCTATTTAATGCAAATTTCCTGCCAAATCACTTAGACTTCGCAAATAAAACAAACTCGTAGTCGGTGAAGATAACTAACGCATCAAGTTTATTTTTATAATAAATTGGGAAATTGGGAATCCTGAGGATGGATAGTTTTAACAAAGCTCTACAGAGTCTATGAAACAATATATTCTTCAAGTTTCCGGTTTTTGTTTTCCATTTATATGTTAAACTTGAAGTTGATACCTATGAAGTTGATAGACTTACAAAGTTTTATAAACTTTCCGTAAAAGCAATTCACAGTTGATAAAAAGATGAATACTTTGAGGAGTACTCCATGTTAACTGCATTATTATACTAATTTACTAGTCTAAAGGGAAGCTTCAGAGTGTACGTAAACTACGTATATTAAATAAATTAAATTCTGAATCAATTTATCCATGTTCGACCATCAGGTTGACCCACTCTTTGTCTTTTTCTGGTTGAAAAAATGAAGCTACCGGCTTGAAATTTGGCAGAAATATTGGAAGTTCTTGCCTCCCATTGGTATTGAAAACGAGCTTAGTCGGTTGAAGGAGACACACATAGTACCTTATAAATCAATAAATAGTAAATTTTTTCTCATAGCTCACAAGCTATGGCAGATAAAACTGTAAAAATTTCCTCGAGCAAAAATGAAGAAAATCGGCCAAGTTCACCCAAATTATAGTGTCTCAAAATTTTATTATTACGTCAAAACCCTTACTAAGCTTGCAAGGAAGCTGCAGAGAATCTACAAAGTATATATATATATAAAGTATGTATTTCTGTCTGCGTCTGTTCATCTGCCAATCTGACCTTAGCACAAATATTGGAAGATCTTCGATGATATTGAAATTGGGTCAAATCAGTTAAAGAAAACTACTATGCGTACTGTGCAACCTACGTTGAGAACAATTCAGCTTTTTTCGGTTCTTCTGCCAGTTATCAATAAACTACATTACACATAAGATAAAATTTTCCGAATATATTTTGCAAGAATAGGAAAAATCAGTCTTTATTTTTTTTATAGTTTGTTTTTTTTATAATTATTATTATTTTTTTATTTGTTTTATTGCTCTACTTTAGTAGTAAAGGAAGCATGTGTTGTATGTTATAATGTAATAAAGATTCATTGCGCATTTTACCTCTTAACCGCACGCTCAAATGCATTTATTAAACACTCGATTTGCCATAAATAAAATTAAAATGTTTTCCTTATTTATCACCTGAAAAGTTCACTTGCGGAACGTATTAGAAAAAAAAGGTCATAAATTATTTCCACTTCATATATTTATTTAGTTTTTTTTTTTAAGGGGGACATCCGGTTCATTTGACAAGAAAATGGATGGATTAGTCGATTTAATTGAGCTATTCATAGATTCATTTTTCACTTATCATCGACTCTTATTCGCATTTATTCTATTAAAACTTCACATATCAGTTCAATGAGAATTCTTTTACTCTTTAATCTTTCTGTACCGTAGTAGTAGATCTATTAAAATAAAATTTACATTTGCATTTTCACATCGCACGGCATACAAAAAACGTAGTAATAAGGATCTAATAATGCGCGCCCAAGCGAATAAAGCTGCTTCACGTGTTGTTTAACGGATTTCTTTATTCCAAGCCACCCCATTTGCCATATATATATATATTAGTCATATATGTAATGCAACATTGTTGCTCAGGAAGACACTCATTAAAAGCAGATAGAGATCTATCTTTGAAACTTTAACACATGGAGAGCATACGGTTTGCTTTTCTCCCAATGTACAATAAATCACCCATTACATGATGAATAAATTAGAAGAAATACTTGATTTTTGTTTATTTTTTAAAACTCGCAAAAAAACAAAAAAAACTTCGTTTTCAGATTGAGTCACAAAACAAATTTTGCCGCCGTCGTTGCTACCATAATTAGAAACACTTCTAAACTCAAAGGAAGACAAAGAGCAAAAAAAAAAAAAAAACACAAAAAAAAAAAATAGAAAAGAAAAGAAAAGTGAAAAGAAGAGAAGAAAGCGATTTTTCGCTTTAATTTATAAAATCAACATATGACAAATTTATAAGAAGAAAAACAACAACAAAAATTTATATTTCAAATCAAAAACAAATGTTAAAAAAAACGATATTTATTACAACAGTATGTCATATTTTTTTTATTTTTTTATTTATTTTTTCTTTGGTTTCTTGTGTTGTAAAGTTTTATTTATATATTATATTACAACGTAAACAAATTTGTTTGTTCCTTGCTTTCAGTATGTCGGTCTGTATTGACTTTGTTCCAAATACTAAAAGATGATGCATTTATATCATTAGTCATTACAGCATCGCATACTCATAATATCAAACATTGCATAATATTTTGGGTAGATATGTACACTTGTTAGAGCACTCTGTGATTATCCGCCCACATGTGTTTCATTGCATATAAGTAATTAGGATTTTTAAATGGTGTACAACAACTTATTTACTGCTTATTATCCAAAAATGATTTTCTTTTTTCTTGTTTTTTTTTTTATGATTAAAATGGTTTTTTCTTCATATGTTTATATTATTTTCTTAATTTTTTTTCTTTTTTTTTTGCAGGTCGTTAGTATTGCGTTCTCAAGGAGTGTTCTCCGATAGCAATGGTGAGTTGTATTAAGTTTTATTACATTATTTTTTTATTGCTTTTTAATCATGCTTCTTATTACGGTGTTGTGTGTCCATCGTTATAAACTGTTTGGACTTCCCTCGTGGTCCTATATAAATCTTTTCATTGCACATAAATTTTGGCCTGTCCGCTTGGCGAACGTGTTCTAAAATAGTGCGTGTATGCGGGTATGTTTTGCGGGCAACTATTTCGTAGATTTATTTTATTCGGATATTCGGATAATTGTTAAAACGTCTAGATATGCGATAATTAGTTGGGGAATATGCCTACTTCTCTTTGCAATCGGCCTGCGTTGATTTCATATTCACACTCAACCCTCTCAATAAATGCAGAGATTTGCCATAAATTAAATTCTGTTTCTTAGTTAAAGACTGAGGTCTACATAGCAATCTTAAATTAAAGTCATGAAGTTGTGGCCAAGTCTTAGACTAGGCATCGCACACTTTTTTGGAGAAAAAAAAAAATACGTAGAACAATAATTTCTTTACGGCACTTAATGCTGGAATTGAAATTAGAAAAAGTAAGTTCCGCAAGGAACAAGAATATGTTCGAATTCAAAGTACAATTCATCGTAGGAACGAGTAAGTACTTTATGCGTATCAGGGGATAATGTTTTTTTTGCAACAATTTTTATGACGTCTTACGTTTCAAAAACGAGAATGGTATTGAAAAAGTTTTATAGCGGTTCGAATGCTACGTAAAAATACGGCGATGCCGAAAGAAGTGGCGAAAGATAAAGGCCTAAGGAAGTGGCCGTAATTTAATGGTTGCATGCCCAATCCATAAGTGTTAGCACATTACCGACTGAGCTATTTAAGGCCTCAATCCCATTTTTCTCAAACCTATGATTTTTAGACTGACGATGCTATTAGTTTATCTCGATTCTCTCTCAACTGATTGATTTCAAATTTCAATTGTACGTTTATAAGAATCTTTTTTAGTGAAACATATAAGATTTTTTTTTTTTTTTATAAGGAATTTATTTATTAAAATCAACGCCATTTTTATCAAAACAATGTTTTCAAAAAGTCCTATATGCTTAAATGAAGTATAATAATATGAACACCGAAGAATTGGAATTTGAACTCAATCGGTTGACTGGTAAGCTATCTAAATGGAAAGGACAAAGATATGCTATCAAAAAAAAAGTTGCGGTGCCGTTATTTATTTGATAAAAAAATTATTAGAAATGTTTTTAAGTACCCTAACAAAAATGTACGCTTTAGTTTTAAATAGAAGCAGTCAATATGCGTGGGTTGATCAAACTCAATTCACCAGTTACTATAATACTTTTGATCGAATTCACTCATATCAAGGCAACAAACACTAATAAAAAACAACTAAGAAAATTACATTTAGCTGTGACCGAATCTTTTATACTTAGCACTGCTAATGTAAAAAAAAAAAAGTAAAGAAGAAAATGTTAAAAATGGGAAATTGATACTAAAAGACATTGGGTCGGCGACGATTTCGTTCGACGTTTTTTCCATTTTCTTGTAAACACTATAGCATCAGCCAGAAAATAAAATACTTTGAAGGAAGAAGAATCGAAACTATTCGATTTTAAAAGCAAAAGTGTTCTCAGGCTATATTATAGCTAGTAGAGGAGAATGAGCTTTGAGCGATTCAGAACTTTGTATTTACCTAGAATATATATATTTATATAATATATAAGTATGTGCATTTCTTTTAGGTGTAATTGTCTGTGGAGTGTCTGTGAGACGAAATTTAAAAACACCCACGTCTTCCGAACTAGTTAGCTCAGCTGAGCCACGGACGCAGGTCAGTAAGGTCTGTCCAATTTTGTCTATGGATTTTATTGCTTTTATGCCCACTCTTCAGTGCCAGTTAAAGAACATGGGAGGCTGCAGAGACTGTCGTACGTGCCGTAGTTGAGGTAGCTAGTTCGGGAGATGTGGGGAGTATGTATGTGCACATATATAGTTCGTGTTCTTATATATACTTTCGTTTCTCGTAAGCTTCACTCTGTTAATTGCAAACACGTTGGTTAAATCAATATACTCCTAATCTGTCGGTTGTCTGTCTAAGTTGGTCGAATATATTACATAAGTAAATGAATATTAAATATCTGTTATCTCAGCATTTGGAAAGTATACTTAACATTATTTTATATTCTTAAGCTTTTATTTATATAAATAACAAATTTATTGTCATGGACAGGGTAAGGTTGTATTGTGATTTCTTGTCAAACTCTTGACAGAAAAAATAAAAAAATTTTGTAAAACCTGTATAATTACATCATGTAAAGTTCAGATTTTCATATGTAGTTCAGTATATCTCAGAATAATTAGTTAGTAATAATAATAAATCACGTTGGGGTCGCCAATGCGGTCTTGTCAATTTGTTGTTAATCAAAAATAGTGATGCAGCGAACACTCAAAGTAATAAAATGTACACAGAGCAATTTGATTTTAGGAAGAAACTCGATTTTTTACTTAACAAATTTACTAACTAATTTCAGCTCTGCGAAGGTTCTGCAAGCTTGCCAATTTTTTCACCATCTAAATACATCTTAACAGGGTTACTACCATAATTAAAACTATTATTATTAATCCACACAAGATCAATGCTATTATCTCTATTAATAAGCATCTTGGCGTCCGCATTGAAGAACTTTAGACGCATAATGAATGTAGAGCACGCATGTTCATCAGTTCAGGCCAAGTACAAATTGCTATCTTAACCAGTTCTACTTATTTATTGAATTTAGGATGGCTTTCGATAAAAATTAAGTTAAACACGTTAAAATTTCAGCCCAGACATTTCAAGACTTTCAGTTGTACTTGCACTTATACACTAATAGCTGCAAGATTTCTTTCAACTCGTGCCAGTCATCAGTCGGCATAACAAATCAAAGAAAACAGTTAATAAAAACAATCACTATACGTTCTTATGTGTAACCAATATACACTATAAAGAATTCTTTTGCGTATAACAGTTCGCATTGTTCCGAGGACGCCTAAAGTTATTGAAATTCTCGATACGGTTAGCAGAAAGAAAGTTAACCTTAAAAAGATAAAAATACAAGCAAACCAGCCGGACAGGCTGACAGACAAGCTTGGATAAAAAGAGTAGTATAAAGGTGGGTCTATCTTAAGTCCTTTTGGATGTTGCATACATCCAAGACGTCAAAGCAGCAATACGCCTTTGCGCGAACCTATCTCTGACTGAATGTTCTGACAAGTATTGGATTGACTCTCTACGAAGAGTTCAATTTTAAAGAGAGTTAAATATAAGGTTACCTTCTTATCTAATTTCTTTTAAATTTCTTGGTATTCAATAATAACTAGGATTTTGTGATAATAAACCGGAGAGCCTCCTAACGTTTAACAATAACGGAAATTCCAAGATATTGGAAAAACCAATGATTGATTTTGATGCTTTCCTCTTCTAGTGCTAAAGCGAAAGAGTATTGCTGCTCGCGCAGTTTGGTATGTAGACAGCTTACAGACTTTTTGCCTTCAGCTCTTAACCGATTAGGGGAAAGAAAACCAGAACAAGGCAAAACAAAAACATACTTACCTTACCAAAAACAAAAATATGTATATATATTTTTATATTAGTGACTTGAATTTATTTTTTTTTAAATTTTTTAAAAACTCTACTTATTTTTGTTTTGTAATTAAAAGAAGCTACATTTTTGGTGAAATGGAAGCGAAGGTAGAAATGGTAAATCTAATCTTTATCCGAATTCTAAATAAAGTTCAACAAAAAAATACCACTAAATGCGAATAAATGATTTTTTGAGAGATGACAAAAACGATTAATAACCATGACATTGATCACTTTATTCACTTTGATTTCTATCCATATCCATTAAAAAAAAAAAACCGCTAAGTTTGTTTATATAGTTTTTTTTTATCATTTATCATTTCTGTTTCCACGACCTTCCTCTAGTTTTGGCTGCGATGAGTGTAATTCGCGTAATTTGCTTACTATATCGATTGTTCGCTACCTTTGTCCACGAATTATTTTCTCAAGCGTGAGATGGGAAAGGAATGGTTATATTTATACACACTCGTCGACATATTGCACAATTATTATAAGTAATTATTTTTGAAAAACAAACTTTTTCATAAGTCAATGAGATAAGAATTTTTTCCATCCCCTTTACTACACTCCTACTATAAAAAGTTTATTCTAACTGTGCTAATAGAGATAAATAATCCGACTAATAAATAGATTAACGAGAAACTTTATTAATTGTTCTGCGATTCTCTGAAGTGAGTGATTGCAACTCAGCTCCATTTTATCTGAGGAAAAAAAAGTCACTTGGTTTCAAAATTTTCAAAACTGCAAGATTTTGCTTGGCTTTGACTAAATTCATAAAGTCGGTGTGTGATTACTTGGGGACTTATTCACCTAAATTCGAATTAGCTAAGAAGAGGCAAAAAGTTTTCAAACAAGGCGATGCTATTTTCAGAATATTTCTTAACGGTTGCAAAGTAATGCTAATATAATGTTTACTGAGTTTTTTCGCTATAGCGATAATCGATTTCGCAATATTACATGCGACTTAGGCGTAGTGCGTTGCGCAGCGTCGAAGTTGGTATTGATTTATTAGTTCACATATGAGTTTGATGGTTGCTCCATCATAAGGGATTGCAGATGAGCTATTTTCAACTCGCCTTCAACGAGCTGTGGATCCGAATGCGTCCCTTAAAGGTATACCATGCCGTAGCTAATCGTGAAGGAAGCTGTAGTAAGTTTCAGTGATTAATTGTGGAGCCGAGTTAATGCGTGCCTAAGGTAGTGCTCGGTGTACTATTCGAATCCATTCTTGGGATCAAAGAAATGAAATCTTTTCAATAGAAACTTTAAAATAAGCCTACCAGTGCTGAAATTGAAAGACCGCAATATATTTAGACTATGCTATGCTATAGTTCTAAGCAAAGTTAGTTCTGCGGCATTTATAATTTTCTTAGTTATCTAATTTAAAACGTTTCGTTACAAAAA